CCCCCACCTTTCCTTCCTATCCTGTCCCTCCTATACAGCCTATAGCCCTTGACATTCACCACCCAGTCATGTGTTGAGTCCCACCACAGACAGTGGGCAGTAGTCACAGACAGTGGGCAGTAGTGTCAGCTGTGGATGCCATGGGCAGGTTCAGGCACCTGGATGCAGAACCTGACAGAGGCATCCATAGCTGCAGGGGCGACACGTAGGGGGGTGCATGCGGGTGCACTTGCACGCTTTGCGCGTCCCCTACAAAAAGGTACTGCTGACATGGTCAGTGGTGCCTGCAAGCAGCCCCCACTCGCCATTCCGCTGCTGGCAGTGCCAGCAGTGTCTGCAGGTGGTCCACAATCCTTGCTGACACTGCCAACGGCAACTGCAGGAGGTCCCTGCTTACTGCTGCTGGGCTCCCACTACTGTGCCCCCCCAGCCGCCAGGGCACAAGTCATTCATGCAACCTCCTGGTGCAGTGGTAGCTCCTGCCTGAAGCCCTGACCTGGAATCTGCCAACCGTGTCAGCCGTGGACCCAGGCAGGAGCTGCTGCCGTGCTGGACAGGCAGCAGCATTTCTCCCTCTCTCTCTCTCCCTTTATCCCTCCCTCTAGAACGCAGCCAAAGTGGTTGCTACTGCCGCCTGACTGCTGCAGCAGAGGCTCCTCCCCGAGTCCACAGCTGAACGATGGGATGCCTGGCAAACTACTGGTTCAGGAAAGACAGGAGAGGAGAGGAGAGAGACAGTGATGTATGTAGCCCTCAACAGGTCCCCAAAACTCATAAGTGGCCATCCAGCCAAAATAATTGACCAGCCCTGCTCTAAGGGGTCACCAGAGAAGGATCCCCAGCTGTATCTAAGCTAACAGCTATAGAAATGGCAAGGAAGCTGCAACTATACCAGCTGAGGATTCTCTTATCCAGGAGATACTCTCTAACGGGATTAAGATGACTGTTCTAAAGATGCTTGGTGCCAAAGGAGTGGCAAAAAAAATGGCTGGAACATAGCCTGGGATGTAATCTTTTATTTTACTGCCCATTTCCAGAGTTTAGGCTATGAATAATGTAAGAAACTATTAACATGGGTAACTAAAAAACTGGCTATATTTTGGAACTGATGAGAGCAGATTGGGCATAGCTTTTGAAGTCAGGTATATACACAATGGAAAACATAACAGTGTACTATGAAACCTGGGATCCAAAACTGGCAAAGAAAATCCATCACACTATATAAACTTCTCACTTAAAGCTAAACATAAACAAGTCTGATGTTGTATTAGATAATTTTTTTGTAAAACTGATCCATATTAATGCTAGTATTTAGTAATAGCTTTTTTTCTGGTTATGATAACCTCATTCCTGAAACTTCATAAACAATAACCCAGTAACATTTGTTTCTTACAACCAATTTATCATCCTTTCACAGATAGCCAATTCTAATTTAAAAATGAGATTAAGGAGGGGAAATACCTGTATAATTAGAAGTTAACAGAATTTTTAAAAATACAGTTAATCTTTCAATTATTTATCTTTCACAGTTGATTCAGCATGACCAGTGAAAATAGAAGAGTCAGGATTACTGGTTTGCGTACACCTTGATTTCTTTTTCACCCAAACTTCACCATCTCTCCCCAGAAAAGTATGATAGGATTTCCTGAGCCTGAAGAAAAGGGTATTTTTTTTGCTTTGTTTTAAAAGTGAATTAAAACATTTTAAGATTTTACAACAAAGGTTTTGCATGTAAACCACTTCTCATTTTTTTCTGTCCAAAGCCTAAGTATATTGTTTCACAGAGTTAAGCGCTCTATGATAGTGACACCTCTATTCTCAAGCTAGTTAAAATAGAATAATTTAAAGACAAGACAGGAGGAGAGAGACTACCAACTTTGACAAGTAGTATATGTGTATGCAGAATTCTATGTACATAAATTCTCTGAACTTGTTATTCACAAAAGACACAACAGCTTGTTCAAAAACACCAACATTTTTAAATCTGCTGGTACCCTGTATGTGATTAGGAGAATAAACAATGATAAATGACACATTAATTGAAGTGAAATCAACAAGTGATATTACCTTTTCAAAATGCTGCTGAAGATGACATTCCACATGAACTCCTGTTGTTTTGCCCACTGAAATGTCAGCAGGAAACTTCTGAAGTGTTCCAATTTCCTCTTCGGCATCTGCTCCTAAGAAAACCCTCTCATCAAAGTCACCCACTGTTAAAACGTACTCTTCATACTCTTTATTCAATGCTTTGCTGGAAAAGAAACCACATTTTATTATATCAAGTGAAACTAATAGAAACTGACTTAGATTTTCCAAACTCACTGAGATTTTACACTAGAAATCATTCACATGATACCAGACTAATGGTGTAACAGTAGCATGCACTAGAGCAATTATGGATAGTCAGGTTTTTGTAGCGAATTCAGTAACTAGAATGAAAAGAATTACTATTTCTTTAAGTGGATCCCAGTACCACGTATTTTATTATTGTAGGCCTTTTTTATGAAGTCATCTACCTAGTGATAATATAATCTGGACTCTTCAATTTAATTATAAAACTCCAGGATTCTAAAAGCTATCTTCTGTGGAAAACAATATAATGAGGGTCTTAAAAAAAAAAAAAAAGAGAGAGAGAGAGAATGGGGGCAGGAAAATAACCTATAAACCACAAAAATACAGGTATACTCTCAACTTAAAATCTAGATAGTTTGAAAATATTTTAAAGCAGTTTCAGAAACAACTGTACTTGGCTCACACCAAACTTCCCTACCATTTTTGTGATTTTGAAATTGCATTTCTTTTTCTCTTTTGTGTTCTTTTTTCCTTATTGCTGTATTCAAGAATTCACAGTTAACAGGAGAGATAAACACATATAACTGTGGTCAGATGTACAAAATAAACAGACAGATCTTAGCTATAATGCTAAGTCAGGGGTGGGCAATTATTTGGGCCTGAGAGCCACGTAGGGAGTTTTGATCAGCTGTTGCAGGCCAGGTCACCTTCCCACCCCACACCTCTACAACTTACCAAAACTCCCTATGGGGTTGTGGGTGGGAGGGAGCAGCGCTTAGGAGAGGCTGGGATCACATGCCTGTGTCCTCTGGAGTGAGGAGAGTGTGCATGCATGCGCATGCCTGCAGGGAGTGGGGGGGAGAGGGCAAAGGGGGGGGTGCAGCAGAGCTCCTGGGGTAGTGCAGTCAATGCTGCCCCTGTGTCACTCTGCATGGCAATGAGTTCCGCCCGCTCACACTAGGGTAGCCTGCACCACACTCCTGCAGATGCTGCTCTGCGCCCACAGTCTCCAGTTCCAGTTTCTGGAACCAGAGTCCCACATGCCTGCCAGTAGTATGATGCCATGCAGCAGGAGCAAGAGGAGGAGCAAAGCAGAACCTGGCTGGCTGCAGCCACCCTGGAAACAGTCCGCTGGAAGCTGCTTCTGCTCCAGCCCAGCACACAGGGATCCAGCTCCCGTGAAAGCAGCTAGGAGCTGAAGCCAGAGCCCTGGCACTCTGGCAGGAGTCACCTGGCTGAAGCTGCTCTCCCACCTGCCTGAAACTGTGTGGTGCAGCACAGCGTGATGCAGCAGGGGCAAGAGCAGCTTCCAGTAGGCTGTTCCAGGTGCAGCTGAAGCAAGCTGGGTACTGCTTTGCACCTCCCTCCAGCAGCAACTCCTCTCGCTCCTGCTGAACTGCATCATGCTACTCCTGGCAGGCATGTGGGGGTCAAGCTCCAAATCCTGGAACTGGAGGCAGGGGGTGCAGACCAGCACCTGGCTGGACCCCATGCAAAGTGCTGCCTGGGGTACTGCTGCACACAGCCCCACCCTCCCTGCCTGCCTTCACCCACAGCAGGCTCCCAGGACCTATTGCAGAGTGCTCGGTCCCATGCAGAGAGCTGGGGCTCTGGCTCCAGATCTGGCAGCCAGGAACTGAAGTGCACCAGGAACAACCCCAGTAGAAGCTGCATGCTGGCCGGCACCCAGGCCAGCAGGTACCAACAGAAGCTCGGCACAGGCTGCCCTGGTGCAAGTGGGCAGGGCATGGCCCCATGTGGAGTGCCACAAGGACAGCTGTGGGCTAGATCCAGTCACCTGGCCTGCAGGCTGTATTTTGCTCACCCCTGTGCTAAGTGTTGTCTGTAACAATACTAGACAAAAAAAGATCATGAAACTTATTTTCAAAGTGGACAGTCTTTTATAATTTAAGTTAACCTATAAAATAAGTTACAAGTGCTAGAAAGCAATGGCTGAAACCACCAGAACAAGATACTTAAAAATTTTTTTAAAAATGAGACCCCTCAGCTGCCAAATGCCACCAAGTTCCTGGACAAGGGTCCATATTTAAAATCCGAGACAATTTTTCTGGCAAACACCAGACCTAGCGCCCAGACAATTATGAGGTGTTAATTGCTGTAAGAAAAATGTGACAGAAAACTTGAAACTTAACAGACAGACACCAAGATGGTTTGTATATTAGAAGCAAGACAAGCGTCCTTGATTAAGAGGACTTCCAGCACTTACTTGTTATCTCCAAAGCTGCGGAGATCCAAGATGCAGTCTCCTTTCAAAATCTGGGAACAAGTCGGTAGAGAAGTGAGAACACATATAATACAATTTGAAATAATTAGCAAAATCAAAAACCTGTTCAATTTCTAGTGTGCTTACATGACAGTTTAGTTCTAATGCAGATAACAAGGATCAGAAGTATTTTCATTTTCTGAACTTTTGCTTCCACAAATCAAAACAGACCTCAACAGTCTCCTCATTCTTGGATTCTGGTACATTTTATCTCCACAAGACAGGAACTATTACATGGACAAGCCCCACACATTCTAGAACAGTGGTCTCCAAAGTGGGGTGCATGCACCCCAGGGGGTGCACAAGACGATCCACTGGGGTGTGGGAAGAAAATACTAGAACTTCTATTTATATTATCTCACTCTTTTTTAATTTCTATTTTTTGTGTATGTTTTATAATGTACATAATATATTAGTACAGTAGTACATGTACATAATTTATAAATAAATAACTATACATATATTGGGGGTGCGTGATCAAAAATGTTTGGAGACCACTGTTCTAGAGCACTGTTTTATAAAATATTTGTAATATGATTCTCAGTCAAATTCTTGTCCATAATGATAAGGAATACTTCTACAATCCTTCCACTGCAAGGATGCTACACATATAGTCTACGATCTGGATCTGGTCCAAGGAGCTGCTTCATCCAGTCTGCCAGTCAAGTGGGTTACAGGAAGTACAGAGCAGGAGGGGGTTCCAACTTGCCACAAAATCCAGGGCCTGAGGGCCCTTATGGACATGGCTGAAATTGGCAGCAGCAGGGTGAGCAAGGGCTGTGCTGATACAGCCTTGCTTGCCCTGTGGCCACTGCTTGCACTATTGCTGCTACCCCTGAAAGAGGAGTCTTGAGGTCTGGATCTAGATCAGGGCAAATATCACTACTTCTCAGGAAGTTTCAACTATGTGTAATTAAAAAACAAAAACAAGCCAACGAAATTCATTCTCACTCTCAACCTTGACAAAATGCATAAGTAAAATCCATGTCAAATCACCAGCATATTAATTTGTCATAAATCCCACCCTTTCCAAGGAAACCTCTACCTTGGGACTGCCCAAGAAGCCTTTTCTGGCCTCCCTCTACTATAGAAGTCTTTGAAGCAAGTCCTGGTATGGCTTCACGTGGGCAAGCCTCTGGCTTGAGACCCTGGCTCTTCTCTGTCCCTGGCTTACCCAGCGATGTCTAACACCCCCACCTCATCGAGGTCCTTCCTTTTGGTCAGCTCCTGCAAAGAATATTGTTTTCTTGTTCAAAGAGTTTTCTTTTTCAATGATACTCAAGTGCTGATTTCCCAAACAGCAGAGCAGACCACTTGGCTCCTATCATACAGTCTTTATTGTGCCATTCCAGTTCCCTCGGTTCTTCCTCAAGACTCTACTCCATCCTCCCTGGGGCTATTTCTTTCTCTCTACTCTCTCCTCCCTAGGTCTACTTTCTTCTCTCCAGCTCTCCCAAAGCCTCCCTCTTTCTCCTCAGGCACAGTCAGCCATCATCACAACCAAACAGCTACAAAACTACAGTATCAACCCAAGGAATAACATTCATCCAATTAAATTAAACTTAATGTCATGGGGAACCAATCAGGGAGCAATCGTTGCAACCTGCTGCAAGGCAGAAATTGTTATCTCCCTCTGGGATTAAAAGCATTTAGATGTCCTACTTGTGAAATTATTTATATCAGCACATGCTCACACTGAGCACCACCCTCTCCCCTCCAGTATCAGCGTCCTCCATCCACCCCTCCCCCACAAGAACTGAGGGCTAGAATTCAGCCCACTTTTCCATCACAGTTTGTTAAACCTACTGTCCCCAATCCTTCATTTTGAGGGGGCAGGGGAGGTTATTAGTAGTAGCTGAAAAATAACGCAACTAGAGAAAGGAGGATATGGAACAGTAGAAGACGACAAAGCTTAACATCACAAGAGAAGCAGTAGAAATAGCAGACAAAAACATGAAAAATGGAAGAGCAACTGGCCTGGACAATATACCTGCAGAACTATTAAAAAAAGACAATTGACATATTGCAGATTGATATGGAAAAAGAAAACCTGGCCAACTCAGTGGATAAAAATCAATAATAGTCCCCATCCCAAAGAAGGGGAATCTATATCAATGTACCAACTACTGCACCATTAGCCTCATCAGTCATCCAAGTAAGGTGCTTCTTAGAATAATATTAAACATGCTCAAGCTGCAAATAGAGACTGTATTAGCAGAAGAACAAACTAGATTCAGATCTGGAAGATGCATTACAGAACAGATCTTCAACCTTAGAATCATGTACGGAAAGTACGATGACCACCGAAAAAGCTCCATCATAATTTCATAGACTTTAAAACAGCTTTTGACAAGGTGTGGCAAAGAAGCACTTTGGCTTACAATGAAGATGCATAACATCAGTCCCACACTGATACGTCTTATAAAAGAATTCTACAACAATACAAGTAGTAGAGTCCTGCTTGACAGCAACATTGTGAATTGGTTTGCAACATCAGTAGGAGTACACCAAGATTGTCTTCCCTCACCATGCTTATTTAAATTTATACCTGGAATAAAATCATGACAGATGCCTTAGAAAACTTCACTGGAACAGTGTCAGTTGGAGGATGAGAAATTAACAACCTTCATTTTGCTGGTGACATTGATCTAATAGCTAGAACTGCAAAAGAGCTTAAGGAAATAACAGAAAGGCTGCATAAAGCTACAAAGAGATACGTACAAGAATAGACATCACAACTGGACAACTAGCAAACCTGAAGAAAGTCTGGACTAGCAGCAACATCGCAATGAAAATAAAACTCCACCTGCTATTGTGTTGTCATTTCAACATCTCTCCATGGCTGTGAGACCTGGACACACACTACAGCACTGGAAAAAAAGAACCGAGACCTCTGAAATGCAGTGCTTCAGAAGACTTCTACACATACCCTACACTGCACATAGAAACAATGAATCTGTGAAGTCAGCAAATATGAACTCTTCCCTTGAAATGACAAGAATAAACATGCAGTAGTAAACATGCAGTAGTTTGGATATGTAACAAGAAGGCCCGGCACCCTTACCATCCTGCAGGGTGCTGCGGATGGACGAAGACAACGACCTAAGACAAGCTGGACCACCAACATCAAAGAATGGATAGGATTAAAATGGACTGATTGTACAAGGACTGCAAAAGACCAGGAACAATGGAGGAACGTTTTTGCAGCGAAGGTGGCCCAATAATCAGCGCAGTCTCGGAACTGACTGACTGATAAAGCAAAGACTGTTATGCTGTTTGGGCACTAAATTCTTAAAGCAATATCAGTATATACCTTTCTATCAAAAAGCTTTGAAATATATGGTTTAAAGTAGTGTTCTTTTATTCCTTTAGCTTCTACGAGAAGTCCATCATGTAGTTCACATAGTGTAGCAATGATGCAAGGAGGTTCTGCAGAAGTTTTGACCTCAGTCATGTGAAAGTCAGCTGGTAAACCTGGAAAAAAAAACCCAAACAGATCAGTCGCAATCAATTATATTAAAAATATAGACAAAATAAAAATTGTGGTGGTTGTGGGTAGGGGTGCACCAGTAGTGATTTTGGGGGCTGATACCAATAGCGGATTTTTAAGGAGGCATGTCAGTCCATACTGATTCGATTTCTGATACAATTTTCTTTACATTGCTGTCAATCTGATATCGGGCCGATGCATCAGTGCACCGCTGGTTGCAAGAGAAAGAGGAAACTAGGAATAAACTCCATGTCTCCAAAATGCAAACCCTACCTTACCTTTGAATGATGGATTTACCAAATCTCTTCTAGTTGGACAAAGGAGGACATTTGCAAAAATCAGATCCAAGCAGCACAGGAGCAAATGATAGGAATTGACCAAATCATCTCCAATCATACGGAAATTACCTTTAAAAGACAATGTATCTTTTCAGATAAAACCAGTTTTTCACTCAAAGGTAGATAATGTAGACAATTAATGAAGCTGGCTTACCCTTAGTGTAAACAAAGAGTGTCCAGCAGAAGTTGAACAGATCTTTAATGCTGCAAGGCACCGGTCTATTGGGTGGGGAGGGAGGGGGGGAAGGGGAAAGGTAAGATTTCAATTTCAGGAAGTGGGTTTCTGTTTCCTTAAGGTGGGGGGAAGGGGGCTAACACACATTACTGAAAATCATAATTATCACAATTTTACATTTCATCTCAATTTCATTTTAGAAATCAGGAAGTGGATCTCATTGTATTATTTGGGGGGCAGAAGGGGGAAGGGGAGGGAGACTCTCTCCATTGCAGCATTCTTTACTGCCATCACCCTAAGTCTTGTGGGGCTTGTAACCCACTCCTTGGAGAAGATGTCAGGTTCTTGTTCTGCTGTGAAGCTCTAAAATACTTCATGATGCTGATGTCACCATTATATCAGAACTCTCCTAGAAATGTCTACAACAGGTCAGTGAAGAGAATCCAAAATGGCATCGATGATTTTTCTAAATGTTTATATGCTTAAATATATTTAGCACTCTTCCAACAAAATTATAAAATAAATATTAACATTAAGGCAACACTGTTAAATATAAAAGTAATTTAGATACAGGTAGTGCAACAAACTAATAGGAAAGATATTTCCCAAGCTATATCCTACATAAAAGTTAAGGATATGTTTGCATAAGCAACACCTTACAAAAAGAGTATGTTGGCAAAATATTCAACCTCTTCCCGTAAGTGAAAGAAGCTACACCAGCAAAACTTCACTTTTACTGCTAGGTGTGTGTCTATATTAGGGGCTTCTGCCAGCACAGCTACATTAGGGACATGGTTGTACAAGAAGCCCCTAATAAGCCATGTCTCTAGTTCAAGGTTGTAGTCTCATTGTAAGTCTTTTAGTCAGCTTCATAGTTTGTGCACGCATTTAAGTTGTGCATTAACAATAATGGTAATTTTGGACTTCATTTGAAAGAGAGGAAGAAAAGAGATCATCTTTTATTGAGTTTATGGTAAGACTGAAGGTAGGGTGGTACCTTAGAGACCAACCTTCTGCCTGACTTCAGACTAACATAGCTATCCACATCAGTAAAATGAAAAAAAATAGTAAAGAAGTATAACAACATTTTCCCATTTGACCTTAATTATTAGCATCAATACCTACTTGTAATCTTAGCATAAATCACAAACTTGTATTACATATTTAACCAGGAGGATCATTAAACGCTTAAATAGCTACATCCAAAGAAATAACTAGTGGGTTTGTAATTTTTTAATGTTTGCCTTTTTAGGTAACTTTAATGCTTTTCATCATTAGAAATTCAGGCAGGTCAGAAACATTTAAACAACCTGGAACACCTTAGGAAGAATGCTATGGGTTTTTTTTAAATCAACGACAGGTAATCAGAATGTTGATTTTATGTTTCTTCTAAAGCATGACACCTCAAGCAATGCAGCACCTATTTACCACCAGGAAGGGACACTAGGTTAATGTTGGCTAAAGCCCTGATCCTACACTGAGAGGTGTCCAGGATGACCAGACCTGTATGTAGAGCACCAGTGGTATCAGTGATATTCCACACAGATGCAGAAATTTTTTTATATGAATCTCATTCCAGGATCAGAGTCTCAAAGAGAAAACTGACACCTATGCAAGTAATTTTTCCTGAATTTTGAAGTATAAATCACAACCTCTGCAGACAATTCTGAATGAAGTTTTACTTTCAAGTTAAAGAAATAACACTTTATAATCTACTGCTTATTGGTATGCTAGGGTGCTTTGCACGTCTGTCATTTTAAGAGCAAAAGGCTGCTTGGGAGCAGCCTGCAGGTGTGGCAGGGGCCTGACCAGAAAGGGGCCTGGCTTGAGACATATAAGCCTAGGACCCGAGCTGGTCAAGCAGTCTAGCCCTGGAATCCAGACAGAGTAGAGCTCCTGGCAGCAGGGCTTCTAACAGAAGAATGGAGCTTGGGCAAGCTGCATAGAGGCCTTGGAATAGACATGCCTGAGAACCTGGACAGGAGGGTGGTTGTCAGCAGGGTCTGAAAGCCTGAAGGTCTCACTGGCCTAGAAGCGGGGCTAGTGTCTAAGCAGACTGAAGGCCAGGGACTACTGCTAGAGACTGAGTGGGCCAAAGAGCCTGTAGTTGGATAGGGGCCAGAGAAATAGAGGGCCTGGGGTCCAGAGGAGCAGAGTGTGGGGCCAAGGGGTCTGAGTCCAGAGGGAGGGGCGAGTGTCAGCAGGGCCAGAGAGCTCAGAGGTCTGTAGCCCAGGAGTAGCAGTTGTCAGGGGCCTGGGAGTGGGGCCAGGGGCTGGGTATACTGAAGGTAAGGGACAACAGCCAGGGACCAACTGGGCCCAAGGAGCCTGTAGCCCAGGAGGAGCGAGGACTGGGGCTGGGAACCCAAAGCCCAGGAGGGGCATGACATCAGGAAAAAGTATAATCTGCAAAGCATGGGACTGGATATTGGGAAGGAGAGCCCATGTTTAGGCTCACTCTAGGACAGTGCTTCCCAAACTTTTCCTCAGTATGATCCCTCTCCCAACCCACAGCCCCCGACCACTGTGAACCCACCCGCTGATGCTGCGACTCCATTTGGGGTTACGACCCACAGTCTGGGAACTGCTCCTCTAGGATCTTTAGGCAGCCTCCCTCCGAATAAAACAATGACATCAAAGGTGTGGTGGGTGAGTAAGGAGGGGAGGGCACCCTAAACTTGGAGCCAGGCACGAATTGCATGGCTGCCTTGGTACACAAACCTGTTACAACTGGTCTTCACACGAGTAAAATAATTTAAGACTCTCACAATACCTCTGCTTCCTGCTCCTTTGTGTTTTAGGCGTCTCTTCATAAGGATTTTGAAATACATCTAAAAATATTGGTTCAAATTTTTTGAAAATCACAGTTGACACCTCAAAGTTTCTCTCCAGCCTTTCCATTCGCTCTCGGAATTCATGCGACTGATTTGACATATCCATCCATTTTTTCATTTTACTAAAAAACTGAATTAAACTTTAAAAAGACCAAGAATAAAACATTCAATTATATTTTACACATTAATTGGAAATCAAATCAAACAGTTCAGATAACAAGGTTGACTTCACCGAAGAATTTAAGTCTAACATTTACTGCTGAATGACTAATTAATTACAGTAAATAACAAATGTTTATTTTTGATAGTTTCCAACATTGAGCATATTGCAAAAGACAGTTGATCTTTGCTTGTGAATTACATCTCTATCTCTATGAAGAGCAACCCTAAAACACTAGAAAACATAGATAAAAGCCAAGAAAGTGTGGTCAAATACTTAGTATACATGATTAGACCACAAAAACCAGAACTCCACCAATATTTAGCCCAGGTCAAATTCACCCCAGCACCAGGCTAGATACAGCATGCAGGACTCCTCAGTGGGCTCAGTCCGGTCTAAGGCGCAGCAGGGTGGATAAAAATCAATGATTTAAAAAAAAAAATCTGATTTTTAAAAAAATTTTAAAATCAGATTTTTTGTATCTAATTTTTTGGTTGAAATGTTTTTGTTAATAAACCTGTATAAAGATATTTTTAATTTCAAAATATGCTGAAGGTCAAAGACATCATCATGGAATAGGGATTATAACTTCTAATTTATATACTAATTAAGACAATAGATTCTTGTTAACCGTTTTTAGAGAAGTTTTATAAATATGTCACAACAGGCCATCGATTATATTAGAGGCCTAATCTTGAGGAGTCTCTGGGAACTCCATTATAGATTAGTAACGATTAAAGAAAAATCTCCCTACTCAGTGGGACTCAGTGCTCAGTCTAGAAGATCCCATTAAGCATCTCTGTGATGCTTAGTTTCAATTCTCAAACTGTGGATTTGTGTCTCCAGAGATAACATCCTTGTTAACAGCATATATGGAGATGAGAAAACAGACCTGATTACCTACCCACCAACCCTCTTGTCTCTGCAAGTTTGTGCATACACAGTCAAGCCCTTACCTCTCTCCAGAAGTGCAAAGTTGCAAGAAGTTAAATGATAAAAAAATATCAAAAAACAAGAACGCACGTTTTATAGAAAACAGTGATTAAACTGAGGCTTCCTGACCAGCAGTTTAAATTGTGATTTAAATCAATTTGACTTAAATCAAATCCACCCTGAAGCACAGAGTGGTAAATCCAGCCAAGGGCATGGGTCAGTGGCAGTACAACAAGCAGTTATGGGCCAAGCAATCACTTACCACAGTGGGCCAAGTGGGGCAAACAGGTGGATGTTGACACAGTCCTCATTCACTCACTTGCTGCTGAGGGCCACATCCACTGAAGCTCAAGGGCCTTAAATTATTTAGTAGTCAACGCCCCCATCCAACACTTCTGTAGCCCAGCGAGCCAGATGGAGTGGCTCTTCAGGCCAGAACTGGCCATGGGCTGTATATCTGACATACCAGATTTAACTTACCCTTACTGTTGAACTGACAGAAAGAAAGAAAAGGAAGGAATTTATCTGTGCATCTATGATGCTCAGGAAACCTCAAAGAAAAGCATAAAAACATACCTTAGTTTGGCTGACCGTAATATCCTAGTCAGCGAGACACAATTTCCTTCCATAAGACCACTTCCAACAGTTGGAATTACGCTCTTACGACAAGCGACATATAGAGCACAAGCCAACCAATGGACAATCTCTCCCTGTCAAAAGGCAGTAAACAAACACTTTTTCAGGGCAAAAAAAAAAAAAAGCTATTTGGCAGCATTTACCTTTTCCATCCATTTTTCAAGATTTTCCAAATTCATTTGCAACAGCAAAAACCATTAAAATGTTTGGGATTTAGACAGTTCCTTTTACTTAGCCAAATAGGGAAATGAAAACTGCTTAACCACACTAACTTCTCAAGAATTAGAGAGCTATTCTTAATTTCTATGGAATGGAGCAGACAGAAAGGGTGTCATGAAGCCACAGGCAGAGACACTCAAGAGGATTCTCTGGCTCCCCTCAAAGCAGGTTGGTGGGGGGGAAGAGTGCAGAGAAGGCTACATGGGCTCCCTGTGAGGAGAGGTAGACTGGAGGTCCCCAGTGGAGAGAGCTAGCTGTAACTGAGGGGTTGTTGACTCAAGAGCATTTTCACAGAAATTTTATGAGGGCTAGGTGATAGTCTGAAAGTAGGGTATGGATTTTGTCAGTTTTACCATTTTCTGCCGTCAAAGCATTTGATCACTTTTTTTTCTATGTAACAAACACTTTTGTTTTTTCTGTTATCTGACTGAAGTACCTGTGGTAAACTGATGCCTGGGCAAATTTATAATCTGGGCATATTCATTTGGTGGAGTGGGGGGACCACTAAGCTTACGCAAACCCAGGGTGCAGCTCTGATAGCATCCCAACACCTCAGGGTTTTGTCACAAAAAGCACTTTTTCCTAGCAGAGTCCTGTAGTCTGTTGGCTATACTTTTGAATTAAAAGACGACAATAACTATACGCCAAGGTCAATAAAAATAGGTCATCCTTTTTTAAATAATAAAAAAAAAGTTTTTAAAACTTTAAAATACACTACCTTTTTAAAAGTAAATCCTATTTCAATTTAAATTTGAAATAAGGACAAATCACTTAAATTAAATGAAATATAAAAACCAATGCAGGTCATCTACCTGTCAGAGTTTTCATAAAAGTTTAACCAAAATACAGTTTATGAGCAGTAAGATCTATCCATCTAAATGTATCTTGACATAAATCATAAGAAAATTTAATCTACTAAATAAATGCATCATTCACACCTATCTAATAATAGCATACATTAAACTAGTGATTGCTTACGTAAAGGCATACAGATATAATATGTACTTGTTATCAAGAGTATCAAATTTAATGTAACAGCTATATTTAATTGCAATCAGTATGTGTTAATAGTTATCAACTAGGGACAATCAAACTTTCTTGAGGAAAGAGCTAAAAAGTGCAAATACAAAACAAAATTTAAACAAGTTTTCATGATCGAAAATTTAAATCATAATACAAATCAGCAATTTAAATAATTCTGATTTAAAAAAAACAAAAAACAAACAAAAAAAAAATCAATCTTTTCCTACAGTGTAACATATTGTATACCATAGCAGTACTCATGGTTTTTGCCCCTGAAAACAAATGAATGGCATGGGGCAGTTTATGGGCCACAACAGGGCTCTATACCACCCCTGAATGCCAGGATCATTCCCAGGGCTCCATGCCTCCTGTGCCCAGCTAGAACCTTATCCTGGCCAGGCAGGGGCAGCACAGGTTCCCCAGGACTGATCCAGGTGTATGGGAGCTGAACAGGGCAGCACTGGGCTCTGAGGCTCAATCCCAGCCAGGAGCAGGCAGTGCAGGACTCCCCACTGCCCCCAACTAGTAAGGATCTGGCTGTGGGGCCTGCTGCCACCCCTGCCTGGCCAATATCAATCTCCAGGGGCCCTGCACACTGGAATTGGGCTCTGCATTGCCTTGCATACCCAATCTAGTACGCGACATGATGCTGAGGGTTGGATCTGGCCTGTGGGCCAGGGGTTGAGCATTCCTGGTATACACCACAAGGCCACATTTCTTAGTTAAAAAAATCAACTATCTACTCTCAGGGATACCAGCCTTGTTTGTTTTTTCCTTTTGGGACATTCAGGAATTTTTCCATGCTTCCCTCATGCAAGAAGTGCCCCCGACCAGGGTTGGGAACCTACAGTCTGCAAAACCATTTTATCTAGCCTACAGAGCCAGGAGGTTTCATGGCACAAGACAGGTCAGAAACAACCTACACTTGCAGCTAAGCTTCCATTAAAAGCAGAACCTGCTCCAAAATGCTGCTGACCCCTGCCTGAATCAAACTACTGACAAAGACACTTTTTTCTCTATCAGACTTCAGATACTTTTGGTAAGAGCCTGATCCTGGCCAGCTGGGGGCAGCAAGGAGTCCTATGCTGCCTCCTCCTGGCTAGGATTGGGCCTCAGAGCCTTGTGCTGCACCCGCTGGCCCCCACACACCAGAATCTGGCCTAGGGAATCTGTGCTGCTCCCACCTAGCCAGGATCAGGTTCTGACTGGGCAGAGCCCTGGGGGCAATCCCAGCACATAGGGGTGGTGTGTAAGGCCCTATGCGGTTCAGACTGCCCCATGCCATCTGGTCTGTGGGGCAAAAACTATGTCGTCCTCTTTAACTTGTCAAATCAATGCATATAAGTTTTTATAAACTGCTTCCTGCAATTACTCTGAATTACACGCATATTTTCAAAATGGAAAAAAATAGATACCTTACGATAATCTGAATATTTAAGTATGGCCTCTATCTCTGTGCCCTGATGTAATGGCCAATAAGGACAGTATTATTTTGTTTAATTAAAAATACTCTTTAATTTTAACAAGCTCTTTTTGAACTCAGCCATTCCAAGCACCTCACGATGCTACCAGGCCAAAGATCAAACATTCTACTCTCCAACTGAACCCTAACCAATGGTAGATGATATTAGTAAAATAACCATCTTTTCTGTTCAAAGCATGCCACTTGCTGGTGTGGGGCAAGGGCTCTGCTACATGTTCAAATTAAAGCTGGATAGAAATCAGCTATAGAGTTGTTACACACAGATATCCTACAAAGCCTTTGAACCACAGGCAAGCAAAAAGAAGTCTTTTAAACAAATCAGGAGATCTCTTCTTCTACCTTACCTCTAACACTCTTTTCCTACTTCCTCGTCTAGGATGTAAATGTCCTGCTTGTCTATCATGAGAAAACTGCACTGATTTAAAGTGAAATGTGAATTTTAAATAGTACCACTTTGTCCCACAAAAAGTATGTCAAAAATTTTCCTGGTCTCTACAAAAAAACAACAGTGTAGAAGGCAAATAAAATATCTCCTGCTCCATCTAGGCACAGATCACAAAGGACATGGAAAAACATCAC